CGATTTCATTGATTGGGCCTCGGTCTCCCGCAATATCGTTCTGTCTTTTCGCTTGAGCCGCTATTTCTTTCTGAGCAATGGCGACTTCGTCTTTCCAGTCTTCGGATCCGTCTACTTTGGATCGGTGAAGGGCTTTTGCCTTCTTCTTGCCCATTGGACGGTCGGTCGACTCGGAATCCGCTGGGGTTGTCGTCGAAACCGATCCCTTGTCAGCCGTTCCAGCCGGTTCAGATGTAGGTAGTGATTGAGGCACATTGCTGCTCGGGCTTCTTGCTCGTTTCTTGGATCGATCCTTTGCGATGCTTTGTCGAAAGTGGTCATGCCACTTTGGGCACTTGACAAGTATGTTGTAGCAACGAAGATGAGAAAAAGTAGTACCTTGATCCTGGCTGAAAAGTTCGAGTGCCATGTTCAGGTGGTCTTCCAAGGAGGCTCCACTCTGATTCATGTTCTCCACTTGAATCACACACGCTCGGAATTTGTTGATGTCTTTTTGGATTAAGCCCCATCGACTCTTCAAGCTCTTCTGGGGTTGTTTGGGTGCCGAGATTGATTTGCTGTAGATGTTGTGGATTCGACCCCAAAACGTCGCCGCACTTTGATCGGTACCAATTCGTGAGTCTTCAGTTATAGAAATCCAGGCCTTGCACAGTTCAACATCCTCGTGCTCCTGGTAATGACTAGATTTGGAACATTTTTCGGTTTCGTCGGGTTCTTCGTCATTCCCTCTGGGCTGATTGGAATTATTGCCGATTGATTGGTTTGAATCTTCCTTGGCAGAATCAAATGGAAACGGTCAGCACAAAGAAATTAATCAATGATTGTTGAGAAAAAGCAAACCGGTTTGGTTCGGAATATCTCCTAGTCGTCCATGGGTATCGGGGTTCCTTGCCAAGTTCGTGTTTGCTGGGACGGTAGATAGCGCCGCCAGCATTGGATCCAGGGAGGCCATTGTACTTGGTGTACGGGTGTACTTCTCTAGGGGGGACGGGGGTTGATGGTGTTTGTGAAACCTATCGAAGGGGGGGAGGATCACAGGGAAGAGTGATGGAGGCCGGGCCCTATCAAGGCTGTATATATACAGCTCGATAGGGACTTTTGAGCCTCGTCCCTATTATAGGGCCCTACATAGGGGCCGCGGTGGGTGTTGTTTTTGGCCTCGCGGGCCCTATATGTGGGATAGGGACCCGATATAGGGCCCGCGGTGGAGATGCTCTAAGTTATGCAGTTAATTACCTGGCTCGTTTCAGCTCAAATCCCAACGAAACTCACTGGGCGGCCCTATCCCACCTCATTCAATATCTTGCAACACACAAAGACAAACGATTGAAACTGGAAGTAACATCAGATTTGCTAGTCACTTGGTCGGATGCTAACTGGGGAGGCAAATTTCAACGTTCAACATTGGGTTTCATCATCACTTTCCTTGGTAGTCCAATCACATGGGGCTCGAGACGTCAGAAGGTGGTTGCGACGTCGACATGCACGGCAGAATTTATTTCAATTTTTCTCTGATTCTCATTTTTTTCTACAATTGTTCTCTATCTTTATCTCTCTATCATTCTCATGGTTGTAGGCACTGGCGTGGAGTTTGAGGGGGGGGGGGTGTTGTATGGGTGAGCAAACTCCATATTTGGAGTATGGGAAGTACAAGAGGGGGAGCAGGGTGAAGCAATGACCATCAGACATTCTCAACCACAACAGACTTAGTTGTTCTGTCCAGAGGGTGAGCAGCACTTCCTCACTTTTATGTCAAAACAAAGCAACCAGGAAGGATTTCAAGTGGCAGAAGCAAATAATTCAAATGTGAACCCCGATATCCACGAGGATTCATTTGTTTTGTTGGCATTCAGGCTCCTGCAAATAAGAACAGGCGTGTTTATAGCCTTTCAATTTGAACCAGTTTGATGGGAGGCGTGTTTAGTTGATTTTAGATGTGATGAGTTGTTTTGATGATGATGAGGGGTGTTTTCCCTTGATAAGCATCTTTAAGATCACACAAGCATATTTATGTACCCTCAAACCTCAAGAAGCGGTTCGCAGGTTTATGAGGTTGATGGGTTGGTTGCGTCATCATCATCACAAAAAAAAAAACCAAAAAAAAATGAACTCAGAACCCACTCGATTCTCATTACCAACTCAGATAACCATCTACATCTCACACAGAGCACTCTTCATCAAACCACACCACCACCCCAAATCACTCACCAGGCTAGAATGGTCTCAACAGCCCACCCTGGCACTCATCCAGGACCAGAAGACGATCGAAGATGAACTCAGTCTGGCCGAGAGCCTCAAGATCCAACTCGACGGACTCATCGGTCTCATTCAACTCTTCCAGGGTCAGTCATACATAGTCGAACTACTCATGATCAAGATCCTGACCCCATATATCTCACATCAACCAGATACCTACCTTATTGCGATAGCCTCACATTCCGTGGTAGCCAGGTTCGAAGAGAAGGAGCTCAGGAGGATCGAACGAGTCCTAGCCATCCCCTTGGTCTACCAAAAAGCGCACGAATTGGTCAAGAATGAGCTCAACAGCAACAGACCAAGGATCACCCAAACCCTCTCAACCTCAACCTCAAACAATAGTATTACCACTGCCAACACCAGCAACGATGATCTGTCGAGTCAAACAGATGAACTCCCTCCAGAAGCCGACGAAGACCTTCCCCCAGGCGCTCCACCATCCGCATCATCATCCCCGTCCTTATCATCATCCGTCGAAGAAGGCTTCCAGAAAATTGTCGAGCCCAACAAGATCAACTTTTCTCGTTTACTATGGAAACCCAAACCAATATTATCAGGCCATCAAGAGCCAAGCTCCTCAAGCACATCAACTAGTACTGCTGAGAACATTCAGCCTCCTCAGTCCACCAGGAGCACTAGGTCGACAAGCACCAGCAAGGCCGCCGAAGAAGCCCCGCTGGCTAATCAAGAAGGACGTCTCTCGCTCGATAAGAAGTTCGTAGCCGTCCTGTCCGACGAACTCACTCGTGGAGGCATGTTTTATGCACTCGATTGGGACATCACTCATTCCTTCCAATCCAAGGCCGATCAGTGCTCCCCAGACGAAACAGTAAGCGATCTGGATCCACCCTACCTACTCCTGCTCTGTCTCATCCTCATCATTTTTTTTGTTTGTTCTCAGGAGCCCAGAATAGCAGAGCCGCTTCACAAACGAGCCCAATCGCGCTTTTGGTGGAACCAACGACTGATTCAACCATTCATCAAAAGTGGGGTTTGTGCCCGTTCCTTTCTCTAATACATTTAGAAATCCTCTTGCAAACTACCCAAGCTTATTTTTCTTTTTGAATTTTCCCATCTTCATTTAAAACATATCAATGTGGATGGAATGTGTGCCGACAGTTTGATAATTTAGGATATGTGATCATGCAAGGGTTTGTCGAATCGACACAAGTGAAGATATTAAAACTTAAGAGCGACGAACGAGCTGACGCAATCCCACAACCATCGAGCGAACCGCAAAAGGGTGAAGAAGCAGATGATGGAGAAGAAGAAGAAGAAGACCGAGGGACGCAGAAGGAGGTAGATTTAGTGGAGATTGAAATCGGTCTGATTTCCCGCCGTTCGGTTCTGAGGCCGGGGTTACGCTACCAACGACGCGGGATTGATGGGGCGGGCTCGGTGGCGAATGCGGTGGAGACGGAATGCGTGATCACCACGCGAGCCGATCCAAGCAAAAGTCAACAGTCGGTGTTTTGGAGCTTTGTCCAGATCAGAGGCTCGGTCCCGCTCTTCTGGTCCCAGAACCCAGCCGGGCTTAGGCCGCCGATCGTGCTCGAAGGGGACCCGATCGAAAACTTAGGTCGGTTCGTGTTCCCACTATGTAACACCCCACTCCCCACATGGACCTAATGCGCATAGTCTAGATTAACCTGCCTTTGACATACTTATAGATGCTATGAAGAAACATTTTGCCGACTTGATCGACTCGTACGGTCGGATCCTGGTCATCTGCTTGGCCGAAAGGAGCGGCAACGAGGCCCGGCTGGTGGCCGAGTTCGAGCGCCAAGTCGGCCTTCTTGAAGGATCCGCTTTCCCTTCTGATCCGCCAGCAAAGGTTCAGTCCACTCTGCAGGAAAAAGAAAAGGAGTGGGTCAAATTTGTCAGTTGGGATTTCCATCAGCAGTGTAAGGGCATGCATTACGAAAACGTCTTAGATTTGGTCGAGCAGATCGACGATGATATCTCCCAATTTGGGTATGTTCTTTCCCCCTTTTTTCTTACACAACACTATGGAAGTCCAAGATACGACGTTTAGCTACCAACTGATATCGCAATTCCTGTCCTTCGATTATAATGATGCTTGGGGATCGGATCACAGGTATTTTTCGAGGACAGGTGATCGACAGAAGGGAGTGATTCGGTCGAACTGCATCGATTGTTTGGACCGGACCAACGTGATCCAATCGGCGATTGCCAAGCAAGTCCTCAACCGCTTCCTCCGCCACCTCAACCTGCCCATCAATCCCGATCTTGCCCATGACCAACTCGACGTCGCCTTCAACTCTCTCTGGGCTAATAATGGCGACCAAATCTCGAAACAATACGCCGGCACTTCCGCACTCAAGGGCGATTTCGTGAGGTTTGTCGTCTTCTCTATCTCCTCCTCACTTTTCCGCCTTGACTCATCTAAACAACACCCCTTTCTCAATTTCGGTTGTTCGTATAGGACGGGGAGGAGGAATTGGAGAGGTATCGTAAATGACGCCACCAATTCAATGGCTAGGATGTGGCATAATTCGATTTCAGATTTCTTTAAACAAAGAGTATTAGATTAGTAAGCGCTTTATTGGACATTTCTTGATTTTCAGTTTATGTTGATCTGACTGACCATTTTTGGAAATGAAAAACTTCAGTACACTTGGGGTCAACGTGACTACCTTTTCTCAATTCCAACAAGCCTATTCGTCGATTGATCCTAACGACTTGAGTCGATTTGCCAAATTCCGGTCACTTGCGAGTCAGTATGAGTATCAGCATACACATCAAGAATCATCATCACTATATTTTTTTTCTTAAGAGTGGGGGTTCTGATGAGTGGTATTTCTTAGTTGATGATGCAGCGAAACAAGTCTTGTCGGAAGGAGAGAGCAAGCTGGATGGCTGGAATCTCTTGACCCCAAGTGAAGAGACTTCGGCCCATTCGGTCAAAGCCGTCCCACTCGGCCTCGAAGAAAGGATCATCATACTGAGCTCGAAAGCTCTTTACATTGTCAGCTATGAATACGTCTTATCCAAAGTAAATCTTTTTCTCTCTCACTTTCCCGCTTGCATTGAGCAATTGATTTATCATGCTGTTTGCTCTTCGTACCCTCTATCTAGGTGCAAGAGTTTCTGAGGATTGGTTTGGAAGATATTGTCAGCCTCCAATTAGGTCAGTCAAGTGCCATTCCATTTGAGTTTTGTGTTTGATTGGGCTGCGAAGCTGTATCAAAGGCCAAGACCTTTTCTTGTACTTTACCAGGACATCTCATTATGTTTGTTTTTTCCCTCTTCTTTCGAAACAGGTGTTTATATTACTTCAGTGGCAGATGAGCGGGATCGAGAGGAGCAGGAAAACTACGGGTTTGTGATCTCATACGATACGGTAGGTGCGACGGAGAAAAAGAAGACATATTCGATGCGAATGGAAGGAAAAAAGTCGAGTCCAACGGCCCTTGAGGGCGGAATGGATGACAGTATGTCGGTTTTAGGCGAGCCTGAAAGCGCGACGTCTCGGAGTATCAAGCAGGTTGCATTCAAGGCGCCGAAGGATCTGACGTCCGACAGCTTCCCGTCTATAATGATGACTCACGATTCCCATCCAAAGCAGGAGGACCGGCCGACCGGACGGCTGTCGGCGGAAGGCTTTATTGGCCAGCTGATCAAGCGGGTCGAGCGCGAATGCCACCGCAACCAGATCATCTTCATCGACGAGGCCCGTGCGACCGGCGATCGGGAGGGACATCCTGCTGGCCAAGTGATCGACGAGCATCTCGAGGACGAGGAGACCGAGAGACTCCGACGGCTCGTCCTCGTCGATCGTTCTCCCATCATCAGCATCGATGACTATCACGCTTCGGTCGGCTCCCTTCCCTCCTTGCCTTTCAACTTGTTCGCCAGAATGTCGAGAGGCGTCAAGCAGATCATCGGCTGATTCATCTCCCCTCTCTTGTCGCCGTTCATTCGCCTTTCTTTGTCCCTATTCTTTTTTTGGTTTATTATTCTTCCTTTCCCTTCCGCATCCTCATCATCTAATCATCACTTTGTAGCTACAAAATTTAGATTGCCATCTTGGATGGTTTTGTGATCGAAGCTCGTTTTTTCTCTCTCTCTCTCTCTCTCTCTCTTTTTTACATTTTTTGATGATGATGATGATGACGATGATGTACATTTAACTACCTAAACACATGTGTCAAAACAAAACAGCATTGTTAAAATTATTGACATACATATTTAGATGAATCTAGTAACCGTTATTCAGACTTGTTGGTGGGGTAATGGATGTGGTGGTGGTGGTGTGAACATCAGGACAGACAACTTGTCCATCATATAAATATGCACATATAAATATGCACAACAAGCTTGGGTTTATACCTGATCATGGTTCCCCCTTTCTTTTCTAGGTATGACTGGGAAAGAGTGTGTGAAGATTGTGACCAATCAGGGAAGAACTTGAATTTGAGGGCTCAGAGAGAGCCATTATTGTCATCTGTTAAGAAAAAAAAATGTATTACTCGGTGGCACGTTTCTAAGCTCATGGCCACATACTCACACACACCACAGCTTATAAGCTCTACTACTCTGTTCTTTCTGAATTTATGCCCTTCCTGCCAAGATCTGCACTTGCTCACCCTGTGCACAGCAGGTGATCCCTCTTTTTTTTGGGGGGGGGGGGCGGAATCTCTCTCAGGAACTGACCATCTCAAACCCATGAGATGCAGGTGAGTGGTTTGAAATGGGGTCCTCATTCTCAAAGAATGTTCCTGGCACATAAAGGAGTATATAGAACCAAAAAAGGATTTGTAAAGTTTGTGGGAATATTTATAAGGAGGTCCTGTAGGCTGTGCCAATGAGACCATGGGCTTCACCGTAAAAAAATGAGAGATTTCTTTTTTCTGTATTCTTGATCAGGTCAGAAAATTGACAAGTAAGCGGATCATCATCAGAGGGAACATCTGTGTTGCTTTGAGGCCAGAGACCAAAAAAGAAAAATGATTTGATGGGGGTGGCGTTGATGGTTGCTTCTGATGAGATTAAGATTCAAGGAAGACAAAGATAGAAGTTTTTTGATGTATGCACTTGCTCCAAGGAAAATCAAATTCAACAGATTATCATTGGAAAGTCTTGTGGTGGTCTGCTTGCATAACGGTTACCACATTTGAGGCTTAACAGAACAAACAATTCAGATGCACATATTTCCATTCTTCAGATTCACATGTCGATCAATTTGTAGAGGATTCATATATCTGTTCACAAGCCAAAGATTCCGCATCAAGTGAAGGACCTCTTTGGACAAAGATAACCATACTTTCAGATTTTGAACCTGTGGAAGTTCAAGGAATAGACCAAACCATGTATGCACTTGGGGTTCCACCAGTTGTTCTGAATTACACACCCTCAACCCATCTACTTGTTGGGATTTTAACTCATACTCATATACACTACCAACAATACCTATTCACTACCAACAATACCAGCTTTGCCCCAGGAAAAAATGGCAATTTGCATGATCAAAAATAGGTCAATTTCCTGAGGCTTTTTTTACAAAATGACTTGGGAGTATTTTAGCTCATTTGAGGCAATTTTATTTCTTTTGGATAAAATAGCTCATTTTAGCCTAATTTTTACTCCCAAGTCATCTTGTCAAAAAAAGCCTCAGGAAATTGGCCTATTTTCGACCATGCAAATCGCCATTTTTTTTCCTGGGGCAAAGCTGGTATTGTTTGTAGTGTATATTTCACCCCAAGGAAGATGGCAATTTGTGTGGTGGAAAATAGCTCAATTTCCTGGCACTTTTTTTTACAAAATTCTCCAGGATTGACAATTAGGCTATCAAAACAAGCTATTTTAGCCCAAAAATAAACATGCCTCACATGGTCTAAATTTTAATTTTGGAATCTTTGAGGCATTTGTATTGGGTGCTGGATGCCAACAACTACCATTTTGGTCAAGGGGCCGTTGGTAGGAGTTGGCCTCCCAATCCCCCCTTCAGAATTGGGAGTTGACCTCCCAATTCCTTTTTTTACTTTTTTTTTGGGGGGGGGGGGATTTGGTGCTCCAAACCCTCCTTGGCAAGTAGGAGGTTTGGGAGTTCTCACCCTCCCACTGGCCCTGCAGTCATCAAGACTTTACATTCTTGAGGACCAGAAGTAATCCCTTCCGGTCATCAAGACTGTACAGTCTTGGTGACCAGAGGGAATCCCTTCGTTACTCCCAGTCAATGGGACTATACAGTCTTGGTGACCAGAGGGGATCCCTTCCAGTCATTGAGATGGTATGGTCTCAATGGCCGGAAGGGATTCTTTCAGGCCATCAAGACCGTACAGTCTCAATGGCCCAAAGGGATTCCTCCCAGCCATTGTGACTGTACAGTCTCAATGGCATGAAGGGATTCCTTCCGGTCTTCCACTACACCAATGCTTTTTGGGCAAAATGCATTGTCTTTTGTAGTGGCCCATTGTTGTGCATACAGACAGAAACACTTAGTTTGGAAATTGAAACCATATGGACAGTATTAACAAGTTAAACCATTAAAACACAAACCCAGAGGCCCCTTGCACTTTATACAGGTATTGCAATGTGCAATGTTGTGAGAGACATCAAGTCCCCACTTAACCTGAATTTGTTGGTAAAAATCCCCCTCCTCCCTCGACAAATTCTCTGCCCTTTATATGATTTTTTCCTAGCTTTGTTCTCCTTTAAGTATTTACTTCCCTTTGTTCTGCACAAAATTTCCGCACAAATTATCATTTCTTTTTTCATCACCCTTAATTCTGCTTCAAGTACTTCTTGCTCTTTTCAGACCACCAACTTTTATTACTTGCCTTCCTTTTCCTATCTACCTTTGTTCAATTTTTGTTTTTGCCTCATTCTGACACATAATATCTTGTCCTGTTTTCACCTCATTCTGACTACTAAGACGTTGTAATGTTGAATTGACCTCATCTTACCTTCCACCTATTATTGCCTTTTGCCCAACCCTCCGCATTCACAATTTATATAAACAGTTGCCTTTTCCGCAAGCCCCATTGAGCCTCAATTCGAGTCACCCACACAGTTAGCCTACCTTCCACCTAGCAAACACATTTGCACTTTATATAAACACTTGCCTTTTCCGCAAGCCTATTTGAGCCTTAAATTCACTCGCCCACACACTTAGCCAAAACTAACAATTTACTTGCAACATAATTCTCCTCTGTTCCTTTTTTTAATTGCCAGAATCATCCTAATCCTTATATTCTCCAAAATTTTCCTATTGTGCTTGCTTGTTCTCAATTCCTCCAATTGCTTTCCATTTATGATGCAGAACTAATACTTTCTGTCAAACCTGACTATCCCGCTCAACTGCTCATCATGTTGTTCTTTCTAAAAGGAAACACAATGGGGCAGGACCTATTTAAAATTTCGTGCCTAGATCATTATGTGTAGTACCTTTGGATGATTGGCATTGAAGAAACCTAGATTCTTGCAAAACATGGATTTGAACTATGCGTACAAAGAGTAATTCATCTTAAGCAGAGCTGGTATCGAGCCTAACAACAGGGCCTCGCGAGTGAGAGCCCGAAGGGCAGCCCGCAAGGGTCTCTGTCTCACAGAGAGGCCTGGGTGGAAAGTTGCTCCTGGGGCGCAGGAGGGAAATACAGGGGGCCAAAAAGGTGGCTTTTCTGCACTAAACACCCCCTCCCTGGAGAGCCAACAAGCGCGATATCTGGTAAAAATAATGAGAACGAGGATGAGCATCTTGCACATCTTTTGATGTCCTGATCACTCACATCCCCCTTGTCAGCCTTAGAGCCAGCGAAGCTGGCCAAAAGACTGCTTAAGTCCTCTTTTTCACTCAAGTTCCTACTGGAACTTTTTCATCTTAATCTTTTATTAAATTCTGACTTCAGAAATGAATTCCTCATTTAATTTTAACCTTAGTTGCCACTACACACTTTTGCACTACTCTTCTCCTTCACAGACTTTGTAATATTTCACCGTACCTTGTGAAATATCAACCAAGTTTGAATTCCAACTCTCTACCACATGTACATGTTGTGATTATGTAATCCAACTCTGAAAATTTTCTCAGTAGACACTGAGTTTGCATTTTCAGGATCTTCAAGCTTCAGACCAACACAGAACCACAACAACCAGACCCAGATCAAGCCATCACTTATCAACCAGAAGTACTCCACTTTTCCCACCTTTCCCACTACACAGTGTCATTGGTGTCATTAGTAAGTAACTTCTCATAAGTTTTAGCTAGCATCTTTCTGCTTGTTTCTTTCTCTGTCTCTCTCAACCTCTTTCACTTCTTCTCCAAACCAAAGCCCTGATCAAAGAAAGCAAGCCATAGCTGCTATTATCTCAAATCAGCCTGTTTGGTAGTACAACTGAAAACTACATAGGTTTCCCTTTAAAGAGCCTTGATCTTTGTTCTAAAAAATTGTGGTTGACCTGATTCTTCAGTGTCAATAACCCATTTCAGTTTCTGTTGATTTGGAGGCGTCAGAGTTAGCTCCGCTTATAACAGCTATCCTACTAAGGAAAGTAAGACTGTCAGCAGCCATCTAAAAAGAGACAGTAAGACTGCCAGAAATTTAATCATCTTCTTGAAATAAATAAAGAACAAAAATATCATTTGTTTCTATCACTCTTCTTCTCCCTTTCTCTTACTTTTATTTGTATCCCTCTTCTCATAAGAAATACATATAAAAGTGCCCCCCATACCTTGTGTCCTGCTGTCACTATAGAGACCCAGGCTCACACCCCTGGAGATGACCTCCAGCGGATCATTCGAAGCCAAAAAATCCCCAAAAAGTTGGGGATCGACCAATCGTTGTACACCTACCCACATTCCTGTAGAAGAAGGTGTACATGCGGAATTTAGAATACATTGATTGGAAATAACGGTCACATGTTTGGCCGTTATGAGTCGTTATGTCACTCATTCAGTAGAAAATGATAAGCTGTCCCCCAGTGGGACTTCAACTCAGAAAGTCCACAAGTAGGACGTTGGGCAGCGATCAGAATCCATCTGCCATGAATCGAGCATCCAAACACCCACCCCCGACAATCAAACCACCCCCTGCGAGGTGGGCTTCGCTTGGGATCACCGTGCTCAAGAAAATTGCCGAGAAGAAGGATGACGCCCTGAGGCGAGAAATTTTAGAGATATCGCGGAGCCGTTATGGTCAAGATGCGAAAACGCTGCAAATCGATGCGGTGGTCAACCTAGTACGTGGACGCAATACGTTCCTCCTCGCCGGGACCGGTTATGGAAAATCTCGTATACCTGAGTTGTATTTCCGGACGCTCCCCATCAGTGAGAAGCCGGTCATCATAGTTCTGAATCCCCTCGACTCGCTTGGAGACAACCAAGTGCTGGAAAAAAAGGCCGCCAAGTTTACCGCGATCAATCTGACGAGTCTCACATTTAACAAGGATGAGGCCGAACTGATTGCCGATGGGTTTTACAACTTTGTCTATCTCTCCCCTGAGATCTTTCTGAACAGCAAACTGTGGGACATGGTCTACTTCAGTGATAGGTTCCAGCAGCGATTGGGTCTGGTCGTGCTCGACAAGGCTCATATGGTCTACGAATGGGGAATTGTGGAAAAGACTCGTGGGAGGAAACGATCATCAGCTCTGGGGCGACACGAGGATCGAGGAATCTTCAGGCCGAGTTATGGGAATTTGGGTGGTCATCTCATGACTCGGAACAACATGCCCATGTTATTGATGTCCGCGACCTGCCGTCCAGTGGCCATTCAAGCAATCAAGAAAAGCCTGAAGCTCTCCGATCACACATTATGGATGCTCAACGGCGAACTCACACGGCCTGGCATTCGCTTTATCCGGGTGACAATGGAGTCTTCGTTGAGATCGTGCGAGGATCTACTAGGCGTCTATGCTCCCAAGATAACCACACCGGATGCAAAGGTGGTCCCAACGATTATTTACAGTGGCTCCCGACACCGGACAATGAAAGTGCTTGATGTGTTGGACCGGGCCCGCGGGGCACCAGACTCAGCAAATAACTCGGAATCAACTTTTGCACGTCGTTTCCACTCAATCACCGGCGACTTGTGCAAAATTGATGTTGCCAACGACTTTGCCGAGGGGAAATTCCCCATTGTTTCAGCTACCATGGCCCTGGGATTGGGGCAGAACTGGTCCCGGGTTCGGTCGGTCATCCACATGGGTCGAGGGGATCCGGCGGCAATTTGTCAGATGCTTGGGAGATGTGGGAGGGATGGTCGGCCGGGGGTGGCTATCATGTTTGTGGAGAAGACACGGATTGGCGGGAAAAATCTGGTTCACCAGATTGTTGATGGGGTCGAGCAATCAGATGATGACCGGATGGATGCCTTGGCAATCACTCCAGTGTGCCTCCGGATTGCTTTTGCTCTGGATACCAAGTAAGCCAACCTTGAACACTTAGACTCATTGATTTTGGGGGTCACACTCTTATGCTTTTGTGTTATCTCAGGCTAGGCTACATCCCCATGTCAATCACCGACCAAGGTTACCAGAATGAAAAAGCTCGAGAGGTGCGGGAGGGTTTTCCCCAGTGTCGGTGTTCTAATTGCATGCCTATGGAGGCCAACACATTCATTGAGAATATGAACCTCATGACGGTAGATAACGTTGATCGCATGATCACAACAGACATGAATGTTTATGAGACAGGGGCCTCAGTTCTCAAACTCCCAAAGCCCAAGACCCGTGCGCCTCGGGTTTCCAAGAAACGGGCTCTAGCGTACCCTGAGGACCTGAGGATTTACAAGAAGCGTATGCGCAAGACTGTGGATCAACTTCACCAGGATGAACATGGCGAAAATGCGTTTTTCACAGGAAGCCAACTGTTTCAAGATAAAAAGATCGATCTAATTGCACATCATGCAGACAATCTACGATCTATCAAGGATATACGGGTTCTCATTGGTGGCGAAACAATCAAAGGCCAGTTGGACGCTTTATTGGATCTCACACATACATTCCAGCTTAGGCAGAAGCCGGTTGCAATTCCCAAGAAAACGGGCTCATCCTTGCGGGCAGATGCGGCAACTGAGGCACTTGTTAACCGTTCCCAAAAAGATGGGCCTGGAGGATTTGCACCTAGAAGATCGGTCAGGAAGAAATTGGATTAGCAGTTATACTAGAATATAAATTTAGTTGCTTATTGTTCTACTTACTTTACATGCAATCAGAAGAGGGTGGATCAAGCTCTTCCAAATTGGTGACCTCATCCATGGCTTCATCTGACCCCATTGCGTCATCATCTGAATTTATCATGTCATGCAGTTGAGAAACCTCAGAATCGTTTGCCTGTAGATTGTAAGTTGGTACGTGTGAGCGCAGTCGGCTCAGATCATGATCCTTATGGGAGATGATTTCTTGAAATGACTCCACTCCCTCTACCAGGGTGTCATTGATTGTTAGGTCGTGATAATAATCAGACCGTTCAAATTGGTCAAGAATGTCGCTGTCTAATGCCATCTGTCTGAATAACTTGAGTGAGTTTTTTGACAAGGTCACCTTGTGACTCTGATACACTCGGTGCTTGCCACTGTCTACTTGCATGGAGTGGAAAAGAGAGCGGAGCTGGGCCCGGGAAAAAGAAGACATAATGATCAGAATGGGAGCATAGGCCAATGAGTCTCATCAAAAATATGCATCAACCCTCACCAGTGGGATGTTCAAGGAGTATAATTCCTTCAGTCGTTCCACTTGAGTTCCAATTCCCCCATGATTATAAAAGAACTTCAGCCAGTAATTGTGGTTTTCTAGAAAAAAATCCTTTGCCACAAAGTGCCCCGGTCGACCACTTGGTGAGACCAACATGCTGTGCCTGAAGAATCTGCTGAGCCCCTCGGGGAGCACCTTGGTCAAAAGCAGGACCAAGCGGGGGAGATAAGTGGCGTAATGAGTCAATCCAGGCAACGATTGCGACATAACAGACCACATCCGCCATATGTTAATCAGGCGGCCAATGTCTCCAGCTTTCATTGCCCGGTCCGCCTCTACGACTGTTGAGAACTCATGTAAGCGCACTAGCAGATTTGAAAGTTTTGATTGGCTATGGCGCTTTCTAACTTCCTCAGCCTCCTTCTCGGACATCTTGCGTTTGAGAGGTAAGTCATTGACCCGGCACCTGGCATATGCCTCCCGGCGGGCTGTGGGTGAGCAATATTGGCTGTAGCATTTGTCAATGATGTTGTTCCAGTGTCCAGTTTGGATTGTTGGCCGATCATCAGAGATTGGTTGCCTTTCTATGTTCATCACCACCCTACATAAGCCCCTGAGTTAGCCTAAGGTCACTGAGATATCTGCATCCAGCCAACTGAGACATACCTGAGGCAGTGGAAGAGGGTTGCCTCATGCACCCTCTCCAGATGCTGTATCATCCCGGTGAAGTCCTTCTTCTGGAGGACTTTGTTCGGGGGGGGTCCCTAAAGCATTTAAAGTACGCCATGCTCCCATATCCTCGGCGTCATTTGTGTTCCCAAAATGGGTTGTGAAGATCGTCTGGCCAATGTTCCACAGGATGTGTGATGCGCCTAGTTGAAATGTAATGCTGTTCATGTTTTCCTGCGCTCGGCCATTGGGTGACCTCAGTGCACGCATTGAGTTAAAATTCTGGCATGTGCCCAGGTCCCCTTCCATTGGTTGTAAGCGGCCCACAAACTCTTCAGGTGAAAGGCCTGTTTGCCGCTGAACCGAAGCCATGACTTGGCCAATCCCTTCTGCCGAGTTGTCGGATTCAAGCATGAGTTTGAGCATGTGAAAATCTGGGGATTTGGCGGTGAGTACCTCCAAAGCTGGTGGGTGGCAAGCGTAGGCGTCTTTTTTGTTTGAAGGGACTGCAATGTACTTCATCATAACTTTGGCCAGTTGGCTTTTCCACACTTGGACATAATGGTCTTCAGTCGCTCTATCAGCAAAGAAGTCCCTGGGATCTATTGACATTGTCCGGACGGTTTGTAATGCTCTATGATAAGACTCGAGGTTTATTTCGGATAGGTCGAGAGAATCAAGTAAGGATTTTGGAGGAGTGTGGATGTAACCCCACGTGCCATGGAACATCATGGACCGATGGCCAACGGACACCATATGGACACGCTCCTCCATGTCTAAGTTATTGATGCAGATGAACGGTCCAAAGGCCGAACTGACGTTTAGATCCATGACCCTGGTGATTTGTCCTTGAGCATAGATTGACAGAGTTTTGAGGCAAGCAATAGCAGTGCGTCGCGAGCTGGTTAAGCCGAGGTGGTGGAAGTATTCGTTCACCCTCTCTGACATCCCACAAGCCAAAAACCGGATGCTATTCTCTAGCTGAAACACATTGTGTCGTCGATTTTTTGCAAAAGATAGCATTGCACAAACCGTGTAAGCAATCTTCAGTCATTGGAGGCAAAAAAGACATGTGATCAGTCTGTCATCCAAGGTATGATTATCTTACTCTAAAAACTCACCCTTTCGTAACGACCCCGGCGAGTTGTAGCACTATTATCCCCCCTTGCATACCGGAACCCCTCTCTCTCCATCAACTCTTCCTCAAGAGCTTCCAGCGGTGCCAACTCCCCCTTGTCAACCTGTGGCACTAGTTCCTCCTGATCCCCAAGGTTGACGTCTGTTGCCGAACACAGCATCCCGAGTACGATTTGGTAGAGAAATGGCATCTCCTTGCCCGTCAATGTTAACCGATGATGAGTTTTTGAATCTTCAGCAAAGATTGCCGGAGTTATGGCGGCTGAGCTGATGTAAGACCCATTTGGGTGGATCCCGCTCCTCGGATTTTGCTGCCTCAAGATGGTAACCGCCTTGGAGTGGTTCAACCTGATGATCAGTGACTAGTTCTCTTTATCCAAATAAATGACCTTCTGACATACCTGGTCTTGTATGTAGTTTGACCACTGCAATGCCCCTTCGGGTGATCTGAGGAGCTCGGCCCTGATGGCATCCACCAGTGCAAAGGTGGAGGGCCAGCCTCTGCAAATGCCCCAATAGCCCCGACGCAGTTTCAGATCCGAGTTGTTAAGCTCCAAGAAGCCGGTGATGAAGGCTTTGGGGGTCATTCCTAAACTCTGGAGCAGGTCACAGATGTAAATGACCTTGTTGACGAGCGGCGCGGACTTGTCCATTATATGGGTATGATAGTAATAGGATGGTGATGAAGCGAGTGATGACTGCTGATATTGCGACTCAACAGGAGGCCGAGGATGAACTGGCTGACCCAGCCTAATCAACAGTATGTACATGTAAATTCCACTTTCCACCTGTCTTTGGCTGTACGACATGGCCAGCGTGAAACAAGTCCCTTCTAGACTTGGTCCTAATGGAATTTAGCCTTGCTTGCGACTCGTCGCAGCGAGGCGACTAATTTTTGGCTCACATCCAGGGGCAGAAGCCAGGGATACCAGAAATCCAAAAGGCATGGCAGTGTAAAGTTGGGAAGGGGGAGGAAAACCCGGAACAGTCCAGAAACCACTGTTTCAAGGCTTTTGGAAGATTCCTCGTGTGCCAGAGATTGGTCATTGCACCCAAGTCCCTCCCTTCGGTCGGCGTAGGCGACTCCAAGGTCATACCAGGAGAGATGGGAAAAGGGGCTTGTGGGGTTAAGTTCGAGCTGGTATGGGAAGCAGGTAATGAGTCAATAGTATTTATGTTGAATTTTAGAGTAATGGCAAAGCCGCCATTAGACTCTAGTGGTAAACTAAGACAAAAAAAGCTTGCTCCAACAGCCAAACATAGATGAATGATTATTGAAACAGTAGGTGTAAGGACAAAACTGATGACCAAAAATGTGATTGATCTTAGCTTCATGGCAATTTGTTTTTGTGTGATTCCTAAATAGATTTTAGACCTGAGAAAGTGCAATGAAAATCCATCACAATTATTCAATAGGGGGTTTCAAAGTTGATTTCATGAACACCATTCTATACAAAATCATAAAGCTCACCAAAGTTTTGAGAAGTTTTCCAAACAGAGAAAAATTTGAAGTTCCAGAAAACTGAAATTCTAACCCTCTTGAGCTTATGATTTCATATAGAATGCTGTTTAAAGATCAACTTTGAGTCCCACTATATGACAAAAGATGCTGACAGGCTCAAATTGTGGTAAATATTGATAATTATTATCTTGTCAATCAAGAGTGGTGATGGTTTTGTGATTTCCAGTCCTAGTCTAGTACAACATCTACATATAACTAAAAGAATAGGCTCAGAGAGCTAAACAAAGTGTCATGCAATCTAACACTGGTTTTGAACTCCAATTCACATTTGTCAAAACTGATGTTAGACCAAGACTCAGGCTGAAAATGGGCTTGGGCGCCCATGGGCTACCCACGCCCCAACGGGTCTTGGGGCAGGTTTGGACTGGAAAGGGTGGAAAATTACCCAAGTGTGACCCGACCCGTGGAGACCCACCAAATTCATGGGCCAGGTTTGGGAAGGCTTTCCTGGATGTGGGCCGGCCCACCAGCCCATGAAAAGCCCGAGTTGTTCTGAATATCATCAGAATTAACCTAATAATATGTACTCACATTGCATATTATTAGGTTTGAGGGCCCAGAATCCCATAACCATGGCCCCATCAGTACCTGGATATACAGCTTAACTATCTCTGTTTGCTGCATATCTCATTTTCATGCCCCCCAGAGTCAAACTTTCAAAAAAGCAGACCAAGGAAACCCCCATGCCTGCCTCAAATGAGGATATCACAGTTATATCTGACTCTGCTCTGCAAACCCCAACCCCGTTGGCCAAGAATAATACTCAGGCCAAAAAAAACTTTTTGATGGGCAGACCCAAGACCCACACCAAGCCCAACTTTCTCAAAGCCGGGGCGGGTTTGGGAATACTTTTTGGAATTGTGGCCCGGCCCGACCCGCCCCATGTTGCAAGGCGGGGCGGGTTCGGGCATGGTTTTTGGCCCCGAGCCCGGCCCATTGACAGCCTGAACCAAGACAGGTGCCCAATTCAAGCAACACCCCCAAAAGGGGCAAAAGGTCATCAAGCAAAATCCACCAATATTTGGGGCAAAAACGAGCTCACCAAGTCAAGCTCCCAAACTCCCCATAATTGGGGGCAAATACTGGTAGTATATAAACAATTAGAAGAGAAAATCACCACAATGTGATTGACTGACAAATTTGTGAGTTGATGCCATGTGCTCCTTTATAGAGAACCAACAAAGCAATTCCTTGACTGATGCGGAGGGTGGTTTGTGGAAGATGGTAAAAGTCCATTTATGCAGTAGTGCACATGACTGTCACCTCATGGGCGATGGGGCATCATCCAGTGGAACCAGAATGTTACAAGGCGTGATGCTGCAAAAAGGCCGTACAAAAATCTTCTTACTTCAGTCAAGATATTGTTGTGGGGGCTTAGGAACTCATTGTGTGCACAGATTGAGGAATGGATTATCGGTATGCAACCATGGCCAGAAGTTAGTGACAGGGCAGTTACATAACTTGAGAATGTGCCGACACATGCCCAGCATAATGGTATGTACATCGACAAACCCGCGTTTGAGAGTGGCGATAGCCAGACCTATTATATCTGACTTAACCAAACCTCTGATGCAAAGCATCTCCCATTACCAGGGTCCTCTGAAGCAAGGGAATTGTGTCAAGTCAGCATATGAAGCCGGATGATTTGGTTTGCTTTTCTTTGTTGAGTTATCCAAATCCTCAGTTTGAATTATGAATACGCAGCAATGGTCAATTTTCACTCGCGTCTGTCCCAATCATCATCAAGTTTACCCTAACCGATACATCCGTTCCCCCCCACTACAAAAAAACAAAAATTCGCCCCTCGATTACCGGTCTTTTCTCCACACGCTCATTCAACTAAAAAGTGGAGAAAAGACTGGTACGTAATCTTTCTCAAAATCACCGATATCAAACCCTTCAAAACAAACACTAAAACTGTCTTTCTTTATTCTTCTTTTTCTCTTCATATACATTCTAGACCTTGTCTTCGCGTGTCCTCCATCATCCTCATTCAATAAAAACAAAAACAAAACTTGTCTGTGTCGTCGCAGGTATGATTATTCCTCATTTTTTTCTTTTCGTTTCATCATCATCAATACTAAAATGTTATCGTTTCTATCTTTTCTTTTCATTTATTCTTATTAGGTGTGTTGCTGAAGTCGAGAATCGTGTCGTCGAGAGTCTGTTATCTGATACATATTGTCTTCCTAATAAAGGTTCGCTAGTCATCATTATTTCTCTTTACTTATTTTTCATATCATTTATCTTTCTTATTCATGAAATATAATACACACGCTCATTCAACTAAAAAGTGGAGAAAAGACTGACCTTGTCTTCGCGTGTCCTCCATCATCCTCATTCAATAAAAACAAAAACAAAACTTGTCTGCGTCGTCGCAGGTGTGTTGCTGAAGTCGAGAATCGTGTCGTCGAGAGTCTGTTATCTGATACATATCGTCTTCCTAATAAAGGTGTGTTGCTGAAGTCGAGAATCGTGTCGTCGAGAGTCTGTTATCTGATACATATTGTCTTCCTAATAAAGTGCACTTCGTGTTCTATCAAAATTTACATGGTAGCGAGAGATCAAAATGTCCAAACGATCACAATCTGAACAAACAAGAATCCGAAATGCACAGAAGTCAGCCGCAAAAAACGCCTCAAACCGAGGCGGACTCGTCCTCGGTGCAGATCAAGCTCATGCATTCGCCATGTCCTCGATGCTCAATAAAATCAAAGGCATTGACGATTTAAGCGACAAAAACTATACGTCATGGTCGAAACAAGTCATGGGACAACTCAATAGCATATTCTTCGAAAGTTATCTCACTGACATATACTACGAAGACGATGAAGTTGAACCGTCGATTAATCACATCAATAGAAATTGCATACTCGAATTCTTATTTTCCCGCATGGATGAAACAAACGCGGCAAGATTTCGAGCAGGATTACTTGATGTCAAGATACCCCTCGTCCGAGAAATGATCCCACTGACGGACGAAGAGCTCGCAGCAGATCCAAACGCACAATCAACTCCCAGAAGACTAGTCCCCGCCATGGGCCGACGACCAGGCCATTTGTGGACAATCATCAAAGATTTTCACCAATCCAATAACGAAGCCAACATCTATCTTCTCCAAAACAAAATAGAACAGTTCAAACAAGACTTCAAAACTTCAATCTCAACACATCTCGACAATTTCTCAAAACTCAAAAACAAATTTCTCAACCGAGGAGGATACATTGACAAATCACTCCTCGGTAGACGATTACTCCATTCTATCCACAACACACACATCGCAGAAGTACGACATATCTTGCGAACCGTCAAACCTATAACAACCCAATCGGTCACAGCCGCACTCAAGAGGTATGAAGACGAAAACACCGAATTCCAATTATCATCTGGTGGAAAAATCTCCGAAGGCATGAACGGACTTAAACTCGCCAACAACACATACAAACAAGGATCACCAAAGCAACAATGCACCCCGACAAATTGCCTTGGTCCACACCCCTTGGACAAATGTTTCAAGAAACCCGAAAACGCAAAAGCGGAACGAGAATGGTTTGAAAAGCGAGGTCTTAACCCTCCCAAAAGACAAGCTCACATCGCAAACACACCAGACCCAGAACCACCACTCGTCGCGAATCACACCAGCATCCCAACCGCTCAAGCCCCGATAACAAAGAAGAATTACATATTCGTTGCTTACGGGCATGAAGCGAACCTTGTTCATCCTAAATTCGAAGCCATATGGGACACAGGAGCTTCTAGCCATATGTTCAACGATTACGTCTTCTTCCAGAATGTCAACAACACATCTCAAGCGCATGAATCCATCATGACTGCCGGCTCCGAAGAACTCAAAGTGGAAGCCAGCGGCAAAGTCGAATTGAAGGGTGTAACGATCGAGAAATTCACATTGCGGAACGCTTTATATATACCCGCTCTCAGAAACAACTTGATTGCAGCGGGAGCGATGAAGCAAAAAGGCGCTATTGAAATTGTTGATCCTAATGATTCCAATAAGTTCATCATTGCTTTTGATGGCGAGACCTTCCTTTGTGGACGATACGTCAACAACCTGATGGTGGTCCAAATAGAACCGGTCAGCAAAAATTCAATCCAAACCAACTCCAAGAATGA